AGACGTGGCAACATGCTTTCCCGACTAGACGTAGAAATTACCATATTGAAGCTCAAAGCTTCGGGTTCAGAAGTAGAGTGAGGGGCAATCAAAAATCAAGATGTTGTAAACAAAAGCGAAAGGTTTTCAGGCCGTCACTGTCAGTAAGTTCCCTTGATTAGTCCAACTTGGAATCATAACTTTGAGTAATTAATTTTCGAGCCAAGCAGATCGATTGCTGAATCGTTATCGATTTATGATCGATACATAGCATTGTTAAGAAAGGGATTTATCCATCGAGTTATTTCGATAACGATTCGATAATCGACCCACAGAGCTCCCTCGGTGACGTGTATTTCTAAGCCCCCTGTTTTGGTATCATCTCGCGAATTTCTTTGAGATAGCCGGTAACGTGCCCATTTCACTACACTGGGGAAAAAAAACACGTTGGATCTAGAGTCCAGGTTCTTGAAAACATCAACAAGAAAAAATACTCTTGATTCAATCAGATTTAAGCTTAAATCAAAAGGAAATCCGCTCAAATTAAGAGGCTTGGTTCTTGATTTAAGCTTAAATCTGATTGAATCAAGAGTATTTTTTCTTGTCGATGTTTTTAAGGGTCTGGACTCTAGATCCAATGTGATTTAGACAGTTAGTTAGTTAATATCATTAGAGACATTCAGCATCTCAGGCTATCAATGTCTTTACAGGAAATATGAAGGGTGATCGCAACTACAAGCATTTAGATTCTTAACGTAATGGAAGCAAAACATTTCAAAATATTGGCTGTAACATTGGTATCGTCTTCGACGACGCGGCCACGTGGAGCAACATGTTTAATCGCTAAGATTGACATTTTCCCTCAAGTTCGCAGAAATAGAAATGGACCAATGGACAAGGTACGAATTTAAGCATTCTAATACACGTTTCTTGACCAGAATTTCACGTAGAACACGATTCGCTCAACGAAAATTACCGAAATCAACTCCTAACGAAGATATTAACATTTATATTTCACATTGGTTACGATGAGTCTGAACTGCCCGCTCACAAGAAACTCAAAGCTGTAAGTGAGTCAATTCGTGCACTAGAACGGTTTCAGCAAACTTCTCAATCAAGCGATGTTCATTTCCCACCATGTGCTGTTCAAACTATAAACAACTTACAATAGCTGAGCTAAAGCGTCAAGATTAAGGTTGCCAGATTTTTATATCGCAGAGACTGTCATGAAAACGATTAGCGCGCGATGTGAGTCACGTAGAGCATTGAGTTTTCATGAGCGGGCGGTTTGAATTCACGCACCAAGAATCATTAAGTATCTTCATAACGAGTTGATTTCGGCAATTTTCGTTGTGCGCATCGTGTTCTACGTGAAATTCTGGTCAAGAAACATGTATTAGAATGCTTAAATTCGTACCTTGTCTATTGTTCCATTAGGTGTGTCGTGATTTATCATTAGGAATACCTATATTATCCTAACGCAAGTTCGAATAATCGCACCAAATACAGTGCGGCCGGCGCGGCGTCAAACTCATATCAGCGCCTGCAAGACTGTAGAAATACTCCACGCATTGCGCCAAACAGTACGGTCGGTATGAACGCATACTGGCGCCTACAAGACTGCATGGATACTTCTCGCATTGATTGTACCCGTCGATTATACCCGGACTGCGTTTCCAATTCGGTACTGTTGACCGTTCAGCTTCGTTTCCATTTTGTAATCTCTTGTGAATTCCCAAAAGGAAAATCGATAGTTTTTTCCGTTTATTCTATCCAGTAACCGAGCAAACGTATCATAAACGTACGGGACTATAATATTATTGAAATATTTCACTCGAAACACATCAGCATCGGAGGGGAGCAACTTTGAATAGAGGGATGATTAATCGTTAGCTTGCAACTTCGCCGTTCGTACTTTCATGAAGAAGTTCAGCTGAGAAAGACGGACAACTGAGTCCAGAAAAGTGCCGAATTTTATAGGCACATTTCTGCTCATAATTAACTGTCGTAACTCCATTGAGAACGGCTAACCTAAGAGTCAACCGGAGTTAAAGCCAGAAAAAGTTGTTACAGAATCCTTGCCGAGACTAATTTACTTATCTGACCTTTTTTTAACTCAATTCCAACTTTCTCACTCCTGTTTGGTTTGCCATGTGAGTCAATTTTCAATGATGCATTGCAGGAAGGATACGATTAAAAACGAACAGGAATATTTTAAAATATAACAGTTTAATTTTTCGAGGCAGACTTAGCCTCTGCATTAAAATTATTCACTGTAATTTAAACTAAATAAATATGTGTACGTCATAAGAATAGACATGACCGTAGCCAAGAAAGTAAAGACAGAACTATCGTTAGATTATGAATCTAGGGCCCTGCTTAACACCTACCCATACAGGAGTGTTATCTAGGGGATAACTATGAGAAAGCGTTAATTTGAAAATTCAACGGTGTGCCTATAGCATTTGGCTTTTATGCTAGCAGCAACAGAAACCGCATCCAACATTCTTGACACATCACCCGTGCTGGCAAGATAGCGAAGAGAGCACTAAGTGCATGCTGGGTGAACCTCAAGACACATAAGAGCATAGTCTAACCATGGCTCATGCAGAAATGTACTGGCTGCTTTCTTCACTATCAGGGTAGCGTGGTGAGCAGGGTTGCAATTTTTCATGAAAAATAAAATCTTGAAATTTCATGTGAAATATTTCATGAAATTTCAGAAGAATATGAAAAATATGTTTCAATATTTTTTTAAAATTAAATGCAAAATTACATGAAAGGAGACCTGGTTTTTCGCTTTTCCGTGCTTTTTAGTGCGTGTTGTATACCGAGCCCCTGAACATATGTTTCATATTTTTTTACAACTTTTAGAAATTTCATGAAATATTTCACGGAAACCTTCCATATTTCATATTTTTCGTTTCATCCGTGCAACCCTGGTAGTAGGTCGAAAAGTGGATGGATGCAAACGTTAGCCATTATTCACTGAACTAGTGAGTTTATAGTTTTTGACTTCAGCAGAGAGTATTTTTCTCCGTTAGATTGCAACCCTGCGAGTCTGGTCGAAAAAGGTTAACTTAATTTACCCGTGGAAATTTGCCTCAATACTACAATCAAACTTATGAAATAAATACTCACGCACAAAATCGGTTGCAAGGCAGCGGTGAACGTAATTACACAATTAAACAAAAACTATGTACAAAATAAGATACAAATGAACGGTCATTTGATAATCCCTAAATATCTGAGCACGGAACTTTGGAAAAAAAAGAATTAATCATCAAAAAAGGTATGTGGTGAAAAATTTTCATCTACCCCCGATTTCGGGTTTTATACAAATTAGTACAGCTGCCTGCAGAAAGACGAACTTTAAATCTCAGAAATTAATATTTGTCTCGCTTTCATACGCATTACTTGAACGGGTAGAACCCTAAAGTGACAATGGATATCAATATACAAAAAAGGCAAAGAATAATAAAAAAACTTGAACCATGCGTCGTAATACTTTTCTAGTATTCTTTATGCAACAGGGTATCAATAAGGTTCGTTTTTGGGCCCACCTTGGCTAAATTTCCTCAACTCAATTATCTTTTACTCATCGAAGATCTAACATTTTACGAAATGCATCATGATTTGGTCACTCGGTCGCTTATTAGACCTAGTACTGACCTAAACTAGAGCCGGATAAACTGGGATGCTGTCGCACCCCGTGCCCCCTGAAGGTTATTTGTGTATTTACCACATTATTAGTGTACTGCCACAATTGATAGAAAATGCCCGCATCATCGTACAACCCCTACCTTTTTTTACCGGGACAAATATATCTAGGTTGTCATAAATTAAACTAGCTAGGGAACTTCAGAATGTCATAAATAATGCTATCGGATGTCTAATAAATAGCAGATGATTAATCTGGGGAAATTTGTTCAAAATGATATTGAATGAATTTTTTGAAAATCGTTCAAATGGGAGCTCTAAATACGCAACTTGGAGCTTACCATTCGTGGGTTAATATTGTTCAAAAAAACGGTGAAAATTCCTGTGAACTCTGTGCACACTCTAGTTCTCAGAAATGAAACATCACTGAAGAAGCTCATACTGCCGTGCTGAGGAAAAACGCCGCATGCGCCATCAGAAGTTTGCCGAATTTCCTTCGACAGATCACGAATTCGCAGGAAAATGTGTGAATATTTTTGTTCTGATTTTTCAGAGAATTTCGTTCGTCATTCCATCTACAAAGTTTGAAAATTTCAAGGGGAAACAGTCTTGACTTTCTTCAAGGATAAATCTTTTTTTACAATGAATTTGGCAACATTCGAATGCGCATACGGCGCAAAATGGATCGAGTCAATATGAGAGGTCGGAAAAAAGTTGGAGACTTTAAACGCTTATAACTCCGTTTATTCAAAATGTTGAGGTTCTGAAAGTGATTTCATTGGTTTCCGCGTATACTTTTCTTCTGGTAACACCCTTTGAAATTTAAAATGTGGCAAAATTAACATCCAAATTTACAGCTTTAGTCAAATATGTAATGCCCGAGCTCTCTAACTGACTCGATCCACTGCGCGGCGTTTTTCCTTAGCACGCCAGCATTCTGTCGTGCTAAGGAAGAACGCCGTATGAACCTTCAGGCGTTGCCAAATTTCCTTTGATAAAACACTGATTTCCTGGTTAACTCGTGCATATTTTCCTTCCAATTTTTCAGATAATTTTGTTCGCAATTTCACCTGATGTTCCTGAAGAATTTCAAGAAAAAATATTCATAACGTTCCGCAAAAATAAACATTTTATCGAAGGAAATTTGACAACCCTCGGATGTTTATACGGGGTTCTTCCTTAGCACTGCAGCATTGGTGATCGGCTCATGCAGCAAAGGGTCAATTCTTGGGCTATCGACGCTATTAGTGGCGACGTCATCATAGGGATTCTCCATTGTACCGAATTGGATCCAAACAATAACATTGGCATAACCTCTTTCAATGCTCTCAATGCGAAAAAATCGATATATATCGCTTTTCTGTGACGTGGCACTAATAGCGTCTATGGGCTGCGGCCGGTATCTGAGAGCCAACCATTTGAACTTGACCTTGAGACCCCTCCTTTCGATTTCGACCCCGAACGCGATCTCGATAACCTTCCTCTGACTGATGAGCTGAGTTTCTTCACACCGCCCGTGAGAGAACGGGCGAATGTCGGTGATTTGGCGAGGAAATTTTTCACGGAATTGCCCCTAGGGAGTTTGTTAAGAACGGCCGCAGTAGCACGCTGCCAGGACGGCTTCCCGTTCTGGCCCCTGATCCCTGGTCCCCTGGAGAAAGCTTCAGGGTTTTCTTGCCGTATCATGTCGATGGTGCACTGCGGGAGTTGCGTGCACTTATCGGCGAAGCAGTCGTGTCCAGGCTCGGTGCATTTGCACTGTTCCAGCTGTCCATTGGCTGCCAGGACTGCGCATCTTTCCGGGGGATAGTCCAGGCAAGTCCCGTCCGGCGCTTTGTACAAGTTCGAGATCGATTCTCGGCAGACTTTCTCGAGTAATGGAGATGGGGGGCATCCTTTCGGTGGCGAGGGGGCGTTTTTTGGGGAGCGTCTCGATGGGGAGGAACCTTTGACATTTCCTCCGCGTGGTGTGGGTGCTTCCTAAAATAGAGAGAAAGTGCAGATGAAAGAAGAAATCAAGGATATCTAGGTGCAATTAGAGTACCTGTATAGCAAGAGTATAGAGAGATCGTCGTCTCCTGCACGAGGGAACGTAACTCCATTCCAAGGTTGCCAAATGGCCTCAAACAATTTCTTTATTTTACAAAGTGACACCTGTGCAATTTTGTGAAAAATTTATCTGATTTTTGCGTAAAATCTGAGGAAAAGGCAGTAAAATTTTCAGTTAGGAATGCCCAAGATTCTTTTAATTACTATGCAATTTGTGAGGGGGGAATTGGAAATATTGAAATACATTTGTTACGTGAGGGAAACGGCGAGATGTGAAACTCCGAAAATCCATCAGGCCTTCACCGATGTCTCCGTGAATGAAGTTAGGGCCCAGAAATGCAGCCAACGTATGAATTTCAATTATTCAGAGCACTTTACCGATACAATTGTTGCGAACCATCGTTTATAAAGCACGTATTTGGCTTAGTTTTTGCATGAATTTACTCATTTTTGTACATTCTTGGCCATCTTAGTTGGAATTGGAATCTGCAGAATGGCAGTGAAATTTTGTGCGTTAGAAGTTGGTTAGAAGGGTGGCTGCACTTTTGGGCCCTACGCCCTCCATGAAGCGATCTGTCCATACTCTCGCTGTATAGGTACTCTAGGTGCAATAGACCACTAGACAAGGTACGAAGTTAAGCATTCTGATACATATTTCTTAACCAGAATTTTGCGTAGAACACGATTTGCATGCACAAGGAGAAAAAAACCTCGTGCGTGGGACCCGAAGTTCAGGTCATATGGATCTTTGAAGTCTTCAGATTGAGCATCTGAACACTTTAGGTCTAGCTGTCGAGGTTCGGATCACACATCTGAAACTTCAGTTCTTACATCTGAAAGACTTCAGATGTGAGAATCGAGGTTTTTCGGATGTGAAAACCGAAGTACTTCAGATGTAAGAACTGAAGTCTCAGATGTGTGATCCTAACCTCGACAACTAGATCCGAAGTGTTCGGATGCTCAATCCGAAAACTTCAGAGATCCATATGACCTGAACTTCGGGTCCCACGCACGAATTTTTTTTCTCCGTGCACAACGAAAATTACTGACGTTAACTCCTGACCAATATATTTAATGTTTCTTGACGCGTGAATTCAAACCTCTCGCTCATGAAAACTCAATGGTCTACGTGAGTCAAATCGCACTCTAAAAATTACCATGACTTTCTCTGCGATATGAAAATCCGGCAATCTCAATCCTGACGCTTTGGCTCGATTGTAGCAAGTTGTTTATGGTATGAACAACACAGAGTGGGAAATGAACAGTGCTGGATTGAGAAGCCTGCCGAAACCGTTGTAGTACGCGATTGGACTCACGTAGAGTGTTGAGTTTCGTGTGATGTGGCAATTCAAATTTCCCGTAACCAATATAGAATAAAAACGTTAAGATCTTAGATAGGAAATGATTTCGGTAATTTTCGATGCAAGAATCGCGTTTTACGTGAAATTCCGGTCAAGAAACATGTATATCAGAACCCTTAAATTCGTACCTTGTCTAGTGGGCCGTTGGGCGCATTTCCGCTTAATGGAACTATATGCGAGTGGAAAAATGGGGTGTGCTCGTTAGTTTAAAGCCTTAAGAATGAATGAGAATTTTAAAGCACCAGTGACGTCAGCGGTGACGACCGTACTCGACGACGGCGACGAGCTCGTCGTCGGGGCGCTTTAACTCATGAGCCCTGTCCACAACGCTCTTGTCGCATGTCAAAGGCTCACGAGATAGCGCTCAGTTCCTTTTGATTTAATGTAAAATTCCGCTTTTCCATTTTCTCAAAAGGAACTGTATCCACTTTTACATTGTTTCTTATCCAGCTCACAACGAGCACAGGCACACCCCATCTTTCCACTCGCACATGGTTCCTTTTAGCATAAATACGTCCTATAAGTCTGCTGCACCATGGTCGTGTGGAGGGGGTCAGGGAGGGGCCTAACCTCCCCCCCCCCCCAGAATTAAATATAGTTTAAGCTGCCTCCCCATCCCCCCAGAAATGCCAGATGATGGGAAAGAACCTTTGCGGTGGATGATTATCTCTTTAAACGAAGGCCTTAAGTAAAACACCGTGTTCATTCAGTTAGTATCTTCTAAAATTCTCATCATAGAAGCCTTAAACTGCGCCCAAAAATATTTAAAATTTCGAAAACTTCCCTAAGTTGCATGAAACAGTTCGAAGACATGCTTTGCTGGAAGGAAAATAATTAACGGAATTTTTCCGCAGAAATTGGTAAAAAAACTGCGTCACGAAAGCCTCAAAATGCGTTCAACTAGATTTAAAATCCCAGAACATTTCCAGATAAGTTGCATGAAACAGTTCAAAAGTATGCTTTGCTGAAAGGAAAAAACGGAACGAAATTTTTCTGCAGGATTTGGAAAAAAAAATTTCGTCACGCACGCCTCTAAATGCGTCCGAATAGATTTGAAATTTCAAACATTTTCCGGGGGACATCACAATGACCTACGTATAGGCATATGTGTTGCATGCAAGACGAACAGTCGTGTAGGCATGCCCGGCTGAGTTAAAGTGGCACGAAAATCTCGATTATCACGATTAAAATTCTGAAATCCACACCATAGTACACCATAGACAATGGATTCTTTGAAAAGAAAGGAATGAAAAGTACCGTCGATCGTACTCCATCGGTTTTTAGGATTAAATTTAGAGTGAAATCAACATCTTAATGAAACAAGTTCGATATATGTCGATAATAATTGCTCTTTCTCTCTTAAGAATCACCTGAACCAATATTAATTTCCTGTTTTTGAGTTTATTTTGAAACTTCCCGTCGCGCAATTCGTTTTTCTCGGGACGTTTTGAAAATAAAACAGGATGGGAATGAGTTTAATTCAAATATTATCTACCCGCTGCAAAAACTGAAAATCGATACCCCCCCCCCTTCCAAACTGTTTTTCCCACCTACACGGCCCTTCTGCCCAGCTCTGGGCTACACATAAGGATTTTGATAGACTTACCAAAGGCGTGGCGTGTTTTGCGATATATCGATTGATCTGTCATTTAAACCTGTCGACAAGGATCGATTAACAAGGTGTTCGCAAAGAACACCTTAATAAATCGATTCTTTACCATTGCTTCAAATGGGGATAAACCGATAGTCGATCATGACTTGCCACTGAGACTTACCAATGCACGAAAATTTACCACGAGAGAAACTAAAAATTGACATTTCCCTAACACCCAAATCGGGGTTTTTCATCTGAATAGCCCTCTCCCCTCTTACTGCGTTACACATTAGGATTCAAACGATGCAAAACTTACCACTTCACACAAGTTTATAACGAGAGATACCAAAACGAGAGCGCCATAGCGCGATAGAACTGAGAATTTCGGCATCTTTTTCAAACAAACTCCCGCACACACATCGTCGAGATCTGGAGATCGACTGTGAAGCGTTTTGTTAATTCTAAAACACCTTAAACGTACACGTCGATCAGGAGGACTAGCAGGGTTCGAACACCGAGCATCTCTCAAAAAAACGCGGTACCTCGGTTTGCGCGTCAATGCCCTGCTAACGACTCCATCGGTTTTGCCGATTTTCGTCAGGAATCCAACTTTTCCCGGAGATTATCCTTCGATTTACCAGAGGCGTCAGTGCGTCTGGCGACCATGGGTCGGGATTGCGTCAATGGGAGAAAAAATTTTCGCGGTGCGTTGCGCAGAATTCCACCATTAGAAATGAAGTGGAGGCAACAAAAAATTATGCATACTTTTTGAAAAAACTTCGACAAGGCACTAAATTGAAATTCGTGTACTTTGCTAGGATTATCTTGAAATCGTGATGCGTATGAAATAAGTTGACATTGGTAAATATCAGAGTCCCTTTATACTGAGAGTCAGGACAATGTGAATTTTTTTCTGATTGGTCCCCGTATTTTAGGCCTCCTCAGTGTCACAAACGGGAATAAATATTACATTTTCACCGATTGCAAAGAATAGAATGGACCGGGGTATAATGGGCTCGACAAGGAACATACGAAATGAGAGAGGGAACGGAGAAAGGAATTTGAGAATGAGTCGATCAAAGATTACGAAAAACTGTCATTTGTGTAATCTTTATTCCCGTTTGTGACTCCTTGAGGGAGGGTTGTCTCGACTCTCAGTATAAACAGACTCTAGTAAATACTAAGGACTGTGCCCTCTGGCTGCCACGCGGGTCAGCTCCTAGAGGGCGCTTAACGGAATCTAAGACCTGCTTTGCTGCCCCCGTGATTTAATCCCAATAGTGCGGGCTCATGAAGGGACCATATATTGGTAACAAAAAAATCACGAAAATCGATCCGCTTGAACTTCAGGATAAATTGTGGCGAAAAATGAAAAGAGCCTTGCACAAAAAGGGCTAAAATTCGCCCGTTTTCGGGCCCTCGAAATTGGGGTCGGTGTGAGGTATTTTTTCATCTATAGGGTGACCCTTTACACATAATAAAATTTCAGATTGAGTATACGCACCGTTTTTGAGATATGGGGGGGCAAAGTCCCCGATTTTTACTCATATTTGCAGGTATTTTATAGTCGAACTTCGGCTGCTACAAGGTACCGGATGTAGATATTGAAGCGCGGTTTGCGGTGATTTGTCAAGCTATTTCTGGATTATTTTTTCACATCTTTTACAAACCCGCAAATGGTTTTTCGGGGGGGGGGGGGGGAGCTTTATTCATATTATCATGACCGTTCGTATACGTCTTACTGGCATTAATTGCTTCGTTCTCGACTCCTCTCCACGCCGTAATCATGATGGTATTTTCTGTTAGGAATCTTTCTTCTTCTTTATATTTGACCAATTCTAATGTTGTCTCCCCCTTTCTCCCTTTTTAACCCCCCCCCCCCAATTCTAAACACTCCCTCTCAAGTGTATATTCCTGTGCGGCAGATATGAAGGTGTTATTTGTGGGGAATTATTTTTCTGTCTTTATGGTTGATAAACTTTGACCCCACCTATTTCCTCCTTCCCCCCTTTACCCCTGTTTCCCCCCCCCCCCCCAATTTCCACCGTACCTTACTCGAAGTTGTCTGCTCCCTCCGCAGCAGAAATGAGGATGTTTCCAGCGAAGAATTTTTTACTTTTTTAAACTCAATACAAGGGAGACACCCCCCACCCTTTTTTCTCTTTCCCATCCCCCCTCACTAGTTCATATTTCCTACCTTATTCCCTCTTTCCACTCCCCCCCCCCTCTTTTCTCTTTTTTACATGCTTGAATACTTTTTTTTGTGAGAGTATAATAGTTATCGGATAGTGTAATAGTTACCGGAAACATCCTCATTTCTGCTGCAGAGGGAGCAGACAACTTCGAGTAAGGTACGGTGGAAATGGGGGGGGGTGAAACAGGGGTAAAGGGGGGAAGGAGGAAATAGGTGGGGTCAAAGTTTATCAACCATAAAGACAGAAAATAATTCCCCACAAATAACACCTTCATATCTGCCGCACAGGAATATACACTTGAGAGGGAGTGTTTAGAATTGGGGGGGGGGAGGTTAAAAAGGGAGAAAGGGGGAGACAACATTAGAATTGGTCAAATATAAAGAAGAAGAAAGATTCCTAACAGAAAATACCATCATGATTACGGCGTGGAGAGGAGTCGAGAACGAAGCAATTAATGCCAGTAAGACGTATACGAACGGTCATGATAACATGAATAAAGCTCCCCCCCCCCCCCCGAAAAACCATTTGCGGGTTTGTAAAAGATGTGAAAAAATAATCCAGAAATAGCTTGACAAATCACCGCAAACCGCGCTTCAATATCTACATCCGGTACCTTGTAGCAGCCGAAGTTCGACTATAAAATACCTGCAAATATGAGTAAAAATCGGGGACTTTGCCCCCCCATATTTCAAAAACGGTGCGTATACTCAATCTGAAATTTTATTATGTGTAAAGGGTCACCCTATAGATGAAAAAAAACCTCACACCGACCCCAATTTCGAGGGCCCAAAAACGGGCGAATTTGTGCATGGCTCTTTATGTGGTAAAAAGAGGTAAGGGTTGTTGGGCGATATTGGAATTTCCAATACATTGTGGTTGTACCCCAATAGATTAGGTTAAAATGGTGCGGTACCACCCTAACTTGAGTTGCGGCGCTGGCACAATTAATTGGAAATGCCCATATCATCTGACAAATGGATTGCGTTTTGCAAAAAGGGAACAAGAGCATTCCAATTTCGCCAATATTGCGCAACTCGTTTTACCTCGCAAATATACTGCTCATTTGAACAAGTTTTATATTTACACTCAATAAACTACGGAGAAAGTTACTTGTGTAAATATGCATGATCTCAGTGATTGTATAGCAAAAAATTTAAGTTGCACAATCCTAGCAATATGAATGATCTTGGTTCCTTTTTTGCAAAATGCAATTCAAATTGGTCATAGTTACAAAATCTAAATAGAGCGGGTTTGTCTAGGCACTATCACTCGTTAACCTCGGCGAAAACGATGGAAACGTACACCCCCAACGTAAGACGATGTTGGGAATGAGACGTCGTAGACACGTGGTCATCCCCGATTACGTCACGCATATACATATCTATACATATCTATATTATACAGCTGCAAGCAAAATCTTGGAAGCACTATTTCTGACGAACTGCCGGACCGATAAGGATGATCTTTACATGTATGTCATCTGTAGTAGATGTAGATGTGCAAAAAATTATGAAACCCCGAACTTTTAATGCTGTAGAGCTTTTAAAGCTCATGTCACTTAAGTCCAATGTTAATAGCGTGAGATATATGTCGTTTCTGCTAGAAACGTCGAGGTGTGGGATTCTACCTGAGTGACTCGAATAAACAATAAAACAATGGAAAAGCTCGTGAAGGGCTCCTCATTCGAAGAGTTGAGGAACGAAGTATCGCTCAGGGTTCAAGGTTCAAGGTCCAAGGTATAAAGTTTAACTCAATTTTTCCTGCATTCTTCCGGCTTCGATTTGTGGCATTGGTCAATTTACTTGATTGCTGAATTTCTATTAATATTTACAGCAGATAAACAGCACATACAAAGTGAGAAGGCAGGCGCTGCGTCGCGTCGGGACGGACCAAATATTATTAACTCTTAACGGTCGAAATCCGATTTTTTTTTTTTTTAAATTAAGTATTTAATAATAACATAATAAATGGAAATCTCTCCAGTAAGTGGACTGTGAGATTATGTACATCCAGCTATTCCTCATCATTTACAAATCTGAGAGTTACGTTAAAAATTTTGAAATCGATGCAGCTCGAACACAAAATGGTGTATTAAAATGGAAGAATATACATTTGCCTATACATATGCGTAAAGGGCCCGCGAAGCGGGCCTGAGCGCCCTCCCGGGGGTTGGGCCGCGTAGCGGTCAGGGGGCAGGGCCCCCTAGTATTATATGCGTGTAAAACTCTTTGTAACACCCGCGTGATTTCAGATTGTTTTAGTAGCGGCG